TTGCTAATGCTCTTCCTTATCTTGGCCACTGTATTCTCCAGGTACACTTTCACTGGCATTTACACTTTTGAGTCATTGATAAAAATATTGGCAAGAGGATTTTGCATGACAGAATTCACCTTCCTTCGAGATCCATGGAACTGGCTGGATTTCAGTGTTATTGTTATGGCGTAAGTAGCACTCCTTTATATTTTTCAAGACAGTAGTATGCAATAGAACTTTTAAAAAAAATGTCTGGCTGTTCTCCTTTTTTCACTCAAATTGTACTGAAAATGAGAAAATGCTAAAGTCTATTAGGATGAAGTTTGTTTTCCGGAGTGGTTTCAGAGGAAGAAGTCAGAGGAATTCTCAATTCTGTTCTCTCAATTCACTAGACTATTTTGGAGAAATTATTTACTCGCTCTGTTCTCCACAAAGAAAGCTGTTTGTAAAACATCTGTAATAATACTCGCATCGAAAATGTAGTTTTGGGAAGCTTCAGACCTCTGAATAGAAAGAGTTAGAGGTGTGACTGAATACCCATGGATTTAAATCCCTATTTGTAATCTATCCCTCCATAACACCACCAAAACTGTTTGCACGTTCTTCACTTCACAAACCCTCTTCTCCCTGAAAGTAATTACTATTTTACTACTATAGGGAATGAATTTAAAAGCCTCTGAAACGTGGTATATATCTTGGGAATAGAAATTTGGCCCCCAACATGATATTCCCCTTCAGTTGTATACTTCTACCTAGATTATTAGAGTTCACTCAGGACATGTGGGGTTCTGGTGCTTTGAAGGAGGTGATGGATTTGTGGCATCTAGACAGCTAAAAATACACGGGGGTAGGGGAGCAGTCAGCCAACGCTCGCAGTGGACACAGGCTCAGCCCAAGCTCTGGCCAAAGGCAGATGCCTGACACTGTTGGTATCTCCAGCTGAGCTAGAAATCCAGATTTTCTTCATAGTCAAAGAGAGAAAAGCACGCAAAGAGAGCATGTCATCTTGAAGTGAAAGCTAGCGGAGATGCCCTGAAAGGCCCCATTTCAAATAGCAGATGGATTTAATCTAGTCTCTCTCTATTTTCTGCTTAATGATAGATATATTATGTTCTGGTTTTAGTTTAGTTATTGCTGCCTTCTTTAAACCTCATAGTTCACAGCCTTAGGTGAGATGCAAACCTCTTAGCACTGACATTTGAGCTGAACTCCTGGGCCCATGCCATTTGAATGGAACCAAAATTGGTAAAAAAATTTCAAACTTAGTTCAAACACCAGTAAGCGCCACTGAATTTGGTAGCAAAACTCTGATAGGCTGCAGGGGTCAGAACCAATATACTTAGTGGCATTTAGCAGAGGAACAGCCTGAAGATGTGTAACACTTATGTGGACTTTATTGGGAAGACTCCCATTTATTTTAGTAGGCTTTGGATCAAAGCCAGCCGTAGGCCGGATCCTGGTATCTGTTACTACATTCCTGTGGATTTGGCTGAACGGACATCTGGCCATCGTGATAAGCTTTAAAAAAAAAAACGAAAAACAACACTGCAACATAGATGAGGAGGAGCTTTTCGAGGTCAGCACACGTTAGGCACTTTTCTCAGCTAAACTTTTCCTCAAGCATTGCTAAGTGCAATTCTCCTGCAACATTTAGAGGCAGGACAGAACAACACCAAGTGTCACCAGCCTGCTGTCCTGTCCATCAGACAGCTGGTAAAAGGAGGGTATGATAAATTCATCTGTTTGTGAGTTGGGATGTGAGTTCATTTGCAGTTCTCTGAATTCAGAACAACATGGAGATCTTCCGTGCATGGGTTCTCCCTGTTCTACAAGGAAGGAGGGTTTTGACAGTGAGGTAGAAAGGAGAAGAGAAAAGGACAAGATGAACCACAGCTTGCAGCCTTGGCAATGCATCTGCTCCACCTCTTCCCTCAGCTTGAGTGGAGTTTGGGGCATCATCCACAGCTCTGCAGAACTCCTCTGGGAGCATCTCATTTACTGTCACTGAATCACGAGTCTGAACAGTCAGTGTGGGACAAGGTCTGGATATCCCTTAAATTCTGTCCACATTATCTCTGGGTGTTTGGGGCTTAGGGAGATGGAAAGATGTGAAGGTTTGCGCAGACCTTGAGGTGGACAGTTGCCCAAAGACCATTCATTCCCTGCAGCTAGGAACCAGGGTTTGGTTCCCAGAGGCTGTGGGCTTATACCTCTTTTTGCTGTTCTGATTCTTCTCGACTTGAATGGATGTTCAGTGGTCCTTCCCAAGGATTCATGAAAACTTCCTCAAGCCTTATTGAATTAGAGGCTTGGGTGTCTGTGCTTTCTTTCCTAACTACATTTCAGTTTTCTTTCCAAATGATATTTCACCTCTTAGTTGGAAGATTCCTAGAACAGGGAGGCCTGCAACTGCGAAAAATCAAGTTTCTCAACATCAAATTATAGCAATGGCCGCATTCTTCAGAATCAGCATCCATTCCTATTGTTCCTTGCTTTAAGGCATATTACACTAACATTTCTAGAATAGAAGAAAAAAATAAAAATGGAATTCTGGAATAGAAAAGAAATAGAAAAGTGTTTCCTTGAGCCCACAGGCAGCAGTGAGAGAGTTAAAAGTGACTGCAATATGATCTTCATTCGTGCAATGAAACTTCCTTCCCAAGTATGCAAGCAGCAGATAGTACAGAGCATTGGATAATGGACTCTATTCTGATACAATTTATCCTTCATTTAAATCCAATTTGCAAGTAATTTAAAGTAAGACTGATTATACAGGTAACTCTGATGTCTTTGCTTGTAGCTAGTGTAATGCTAGAGGTATTTCTGTATCTGGAAACAAAGGTGGCATGAGGGTTCAAAATGGGAAATCCTGAGGAGGGGCCATGAGATCTAGATGGACCAAGGGTTTTGAGCTCACAGAAAATCTTATTCTTTCAGTGGTGGGTGTTATAGTGGAATGACCATCACTTACTTTCAAGTTATTGCAAAATAACTTCTTACCTCCTCTTTTGGGCCAAACCAGCACAGATTGGTTGACAGAGAGAAGTTTTAAATAGCACACTAGAGAATAAGAGGTGCTACAGGTCTCCAGGGCTTTTCTGAAGTTCCTGTGCAAACAGACACAGGCATGGCTCCTGACCCTCTGTGGGGCCATGGATGGGTTCAGGAGAAATTATGAAACTGCCCCTGTTTAGATAACTCT